GCTAATGTTATCGAACAGAGTGTATAAATTTTATACCAAAAAGAAAATAAAAGTAATACCTACCATAAACTTACTATTCAATCTACCTTGTATATACTATATATAACTGCAATAAATTATATTAAAAATTACACCTTCTTGTATTTTTATATCCATCTAATATCACGTTACTATGCTCTTTTACTATGCTGTACTATCTGAACGATTTCGGCTATAAATCAACGAAGATTCGACAGCGGAACGCGATGACTTTCTCGATAGTTGTACGTACAGTTACACGTAATGGAGAGATGCCTTTAATCCAGTCCTCCCACTTACCGGAAGCCCACGCATGCGACGATCCTGGGGTCCCTACTTTTCCACCGAAGGACTTTGAAGGCCAGCCTGCCTACACACGCGAACCTACGCAATCGTAATTCCCATCTGTGTATTTCTCTCTGTACGCGTGTGTCTGTACATGCTCCCATGAAAGTTATTCATCGCGATGGTCATTTCGGTTCGTTATACCGTGCAGAAAAAATGTCCGCACGTTCGATACCGCTCTGCTAATAATACTAAACGGAAGGTCGTGCGTTGATCTCGAGCAGTTTGGACGTGCTCCTTATGATGTTACGTTCGTTTCGCTTGTTCGACCGCTAATGCGTCTTTGATTACACCCGTGACTTTCGCTAGACGAATTAGCATTGAAGGCCGAAGCCATTTAGCGGTGGATAAATTACCGTCGATGCATCCGGTCACTTTGCGTACCGTGTTCGTGTGTCACCTTGAATCGGACATCGGAATCGGATGCGAGAGAATGAGAGATACGCTTGTGCAGGAGATGGCGTATTTGCGATCCCTGTTATTTCCCAATTTTTCGATCCTCCTGTTTGATGTAGTATATAGATACGACACGAAACAGGGAGAGGAGAATGGTTGGAGAAATCGTAGGCGACTTTTTACCACAGTTTGAATATTTTTCCCATCATCATACGGTCGTAAAACGCAAAAGCACATCGTCAGTGGATGTTGGTGCAGGCGAGAGTAAAACGCCTATAGGATTTATCGTTAGATTTCTACGCTGTCATCATCGTGATTTTCATCGGTCCTTAGTCCTGGAACGACTTTAATTTCGATTCCAGACACGAACCTCCCCGTTTGCAACGTCTCACTATCGACACCGTGCCACGGAAAATCCTGATCACGCCTCTTAGAATCCCTCCATAAAGTATGAAACGACGTTGGAATTGCTCTACGTGTACCGATGGAAAATTATGGGAAATTAAGCGAAAGGGAGTGATGAAAAAAATATGAGAAAAAAAGGCACCAATGTTTTTGCGTAAATCAGCTCGAACTTAAGTAACTCGTTTCCTACACGAGTAGAGTCATTTCCCGTTCAAACGATCGGTAAACCGCCACGCGTTGCGTAAAAAGGCAAACGCAGGCAAGGTCGGCTATTGACTAATGTCTATTTCTGAAAAATCTACTTCACCGGCATTTCTCTTTCCTACAGACGTGTTTTTCGCGGTTCTGGAACAAGCCTCTGCGAGTCGATCTCTTCGGCTATTTGCAGTGGTGACTGAACCGATGTGTCGCGACAACGTTAAGTCGGTGAAGTCACCAACACTCACCTGAGCTCAGGTGTGCGAGAAGCGCGCGGATTGGGTGCTTACGTCACCCCTGCTATTCCTGTTCCAGCCCATCTCCATTCCGAGTATCCTTAAACCGAGCATCCCTCGAACCTGCAGCGCGACCCTAATAGACGTCCTAATCTTTAGCAAGCCTCGAACACGTTTACCTGAAGATGTCTGTCTCGCTTGGTTGGAGCCACGGATTCCGCACGGAAATCGATCGTTACTCGTTTCGTCTCAGCGGAGGCAAGCGCTGAGAAATTTAATTAGAGAGCCTCGGACGAGTTTAATATCGAACATAACTTCGGTCGTGCTTAAATGATCTCCGTTCATGATGTTATTCGAAGGATTTTTCAGTTCTCCTTGATTGCACGTTTTTTACATTCCTCGGTTATGTCTCACTTCTTAAAAGCGTGGAAGAGAACGGGGCAGGAGGTTCTTGAACGTGGAATTTTACCGAGGTTCCTGCTCTTTTTTCCCGGAGATATCGATGCTGGATTTGGTGCGAAACGCGACTTGGAGCGCGTGGGACGCGCGCGCGCCATCGTTGGGACTGCCCACATCGCGGACAAGCGAAACGCATCCAACTGGATGGGATATTTCAAGGCTCTTGAAAATGCTTTTCGATACCCTCGATTTCAGAGGAAACTTCCTTTCGACGAGACTGAAAATGTTCACTGGAAAAGTCTGCAATAACGAGCGATAGAACTACGGGGAATAATTTAATAGATACTTGTTTCTCGGTAATAAATCAGGCATACTCGAGTTCAGGTCTCGCAGTAACAATATTTCAAATATCCACATAACCATCTAATTAACCTCAAGAGAAAAGCAAAGAAAAGCGTGGTCATAAACTGAACTCGCTTGCATTCACGCGTACAATCGATTCAGGAAGAGATCATCCTTGAATTTCATCAGCGAGTACCTCGTGTAATTGCAGAGTTGCGTTTCGCGAAGGATCATCAGCGGCGAAGAAGAGGCGGATTCTGTTTTCGCGAGGTGAGTACCGTGTGGATCGTTAAACACCGTGGCTAGAAAAAAAAAAAACTGTATAATAATCGTTGAAAGGTGCTTCTCATGCGAGCAAGTGAATAATTATATAATCAAGGTTGTTAAAACGAATCACATAGGTAATCGAGGGATCCTTTGTTCGTTTATTTTTCGTTGAAATATCGGTGAAAAATCTTCTGAAGATTTTACGAACGATCCTCCCATCAAATGATCCCCCCCGTGAGCTAATAGTATGCAAAAGGTATTCGAGACGAGAGTATTTTTCCGTATTTAATTGCTGTACGGTCGGTCGTTCGCGTCCGAGAATGATTAACTCCGGTGATTTGAACGGCCGCAAGGGCGATGCGTTTGCTCCCGCTTTTCATCCGTACCGACATTGACGGTTGGCGTGAAGAAAAGTGAAGCTCGTAACGGATGGAAAAAGTCTCTTTAATAATGTTGAAGATCGCGTGATGCGGCGAGTTCCCTTCGGGTAAACGATTCTCTCTCTTCCTATCGTGTGGAACGAAAAGTTAGGCTGCAAGAAAGTCCTTCGAAGAGGAAACAATTTCAAAGTACACAGATGTTGTCGGTTGAAAGTAAACGGAGGTTGTACACAGGGTGTGTGTGTGAATAGTAAAGGGAAATTTATAGAATAGAATATTAACAAGCTTGTAGACGAAGCGTATAAGTTTCTATTAACCACTTAAGGTGTCACTTATAATTGAGAAACGTCTTGTATACTCGTGTTCCTAAGTCTCCCGACACTTGGTAACTCGTAGATTAACTGTGGAACAACCGAACCCGTCAAAATGGCAGATTTCAGATTTATCTTCACACTTTATTTTCCACTCTTTGTATACTATACCTAAAACTGTACCACGTTCAATTCCGGTTATTCTACTGTTAAGAAAAGAAAACTTCAAGTTCGTTCGATAATTTACGAACGGAAGTGTATATTGCAAAAAAACCACATTTCCAAGGAAATCCAGCGTTTGAACAAAGACACAGAAAGGCAAAGGTCACGATCATAATCTCTGTATTACCATATTACTGACATTTCAAGTAAAAGAGTTTCTCAAAGACCATGCTCACATTATACTCCGTCACTTTCGAATGAAGTCACCGCGAATAAGAAAATCGTGGGCGTAAGAGACAACCATCGACGCGAGTGTCTTCATTAAGGAAACGAATCGACCAGTCAATTATTAGCCACTTGAAGTTTCCACAGGCGCGTTCTATCGTGCCGTAAATCATACGCAGACACTTTTACACGGTGTTCCGATCGCTCGAGCGGGAAACGCGACGGTAATCGTAGCTCCGGCGACCTCCGGCCCGATCGAGGAATTCCTGTTGCGTCGACGGAAAAGCGCGCGCGTTATCGTGTGTCGCCTCGTGCGGTTGCATTGTGACGTAACGAGTGGCGCACGATGAATCAACGGGACAGTGATCATTCACGTCGTCGTCGGTGCGACACGTGCCTGGCGCGTTTGCAAATTGGTCAATTACCAGCGGCCACCGAGCGATATCGCTCGGTATTTTAATCGAGCATCGCTCCGAACACCTACTCCTGATCTTTCGTCTGAAACGAAAGGGTTGAGAACGTGTAGAGATCACTTATACATGTATACACAACGTTCTTCTCTGTTTCTCACGTATCGAGAATACCTGAACGCCAGATACCGCGTGTTTTGCCTTGGTCATTATCCTGCATTAACGCTGGTCTCCACCGGGAGGAATTAATAATCGAGCGTTAAATCGAGGAAACCCGCGAAGAAAAATTGCTACTTAGTCGCGGTTTAACCGGCCTACGATTTATTCAGTTTCCCAAGAGGAAGAGATAAGATTAATATCGAGGGAGCGAGATCGGTGTAAAGAGGAAAACGAGAGTGCCGGTTTGCTACCAGAACGAGAGATAGAGGTTGGCTGGTTAACCGTGGTGGTAGGAGAGCGAGAGAGAGACTTTAAAAAGGGACAGGTATTTATTACGGAAGGGTTCCGTGGTACCCGAAGGAACGGTGTCAGCGTTCATCCTCGTCGTGGCAGGGTGCCGTGAGCAGTGTCCGAAAAAATCGTACAGCATGTCCAAAGTATAGACGAGGATATGTGGAACTAATTGCATGTTAGTGGCGGTGGTTTGTACGTCGGAGGACGGTGGTGAGCTTTTGAAATTTGATCGAGGCAACCGATCACCTTCTCCCCCTGGCCTGGCGTCGAAGTTTATCCGCAGTTGGCCAGGCGGATGACGCATCGTCGAAAAGAATACGAAATGAACGCGTGCCCCCACGAACCCGTTACCTATACTACGCCCCGGCGAACTCGAGCTCCTCTTGGTATAAGGTGTGCTTCCATGGTATGTCTGGGTTCCGCTTGGAAAACCACGCGACA